GTTCATTGCTTTAACATCTAATACTTTTCCTGTTTCCATTAAAATAACAGCTCCATTGTTTGAAGAGTAGCCTTGTTGCTGCCAAGTAAACCCCACATATGAAGTCTTTATTTTTTGAAAAATGGCTCAACGTATAGATGAAACCACTCAGCAGTTTTTTGTTCGATTAAACGAACAAGCTATTAAATGCGAGTTTGCTGATAAGGATAAAGAAATTAAACAACAAATTGAACTTTGTACAAACATTTCAAAACTGCAAAAATACAAAATACTAACAAAACTTTACAGGATTTGTTAACAACTGCAAATACATTTGAGCTGATGGACTATCAAATAAAAGAACTTGAAAAGGAAACGATAAAACAAAACAAACAGTATGCAAGAATACGTCAAGAGAAACACCAGAGAAATGAACAAATTTATACAAAATCATTAAATATAATTTACTAAGATATCAACGTTTCCGAAAACCCTTTTTCAAAGTTAAACGCGGGAGGATTGTACTCTGTGAATAGTAGACAGATAACTAATGAAGCAGTTGAAAACTTCGAGGTAACAGTTAACATAAAAAATATACCAATAAACGTTTTAATAGACACCGGAGCATCGATCAATATTCTAAGTTTTAAAACATTTGAAAAGATAAATTACCTCCTCAAAAGACCACTTCGCCAACAAAAATCTAAAACACAGGTTATTACCTACGGGGATAACAATCCAAAGCTTAAAATAGAAGGACAGATCAATGTCGTGATAGAAAGTCACACCAAACTTCGTCAGTCCACATTCCATGAATTAAAATGTATGTATAGTAATTAAAACGCACCACAAAAATCTGTTATCTGGAAACGACGCAAAGTTACTCGGTTTATTACAACTAAATACTGACGTCAATTACAAACTTTTAAACAAAAATCAAGAAGAACGAAATGCAAAACAAAATAACTATAATGACAGTAAACAAAATATTTGTCACTCCTTGCAGAACATTAGTAAATTGAACAATAATCTCCTTCTAAACGCTCCAAAACAATTACAACTACTTATAAACTCGTACTAAAAGTTCTGTTTAGCGTTAAAATAGTAAAACTTTCTGACTATCAAGTAAAATTAAAAATCAATAAAAGTATACCACCAGTCGCACAAAGAGAAAGAAGAATTCTTTTTGCACTTAGAGAAAAAGTTAAAGTTGAGCTTGCAAAACTTGAAGCAGAAGGAATAACTGAAACTGTAACAGACGAAGCAACAACCTGGATAAGTCCAATGGTAATTGTTCCAAAAAATGACGGCAACCTAAGAATTTGCGTAGACATGCGAGCCGCTAACAAAGCTATTGGAAAAACGCGTTTTCAAACTCCAACTTTGGACGATGTTATTATAAAACTAAAAGACTCCACCGTTTTCTCCAAACTAGATTTAATGAAGGCATTTTACCAGCTCGAACTTGCGCCGGAATCCAGATCAATAACTACTTTTCAATCCGAAACTCAAATTAAACGTTTTACAAAACTTAATTTTGGAGTAAACTCCGCCCAAGAGGAACTACAAAACTCTTTACGAGAAGTTTTAAAAGATATAGAAGGTATACATGTCGTAATGAAAATAATATTTTGGTTTCCTCGAACATATTCCTGATCTTGTGATAGTAATGTTACGGTTTTTTGACTCATTGTGATTTATATTTTGATCATTTTTTGTGATTTTTTGACAGTTTTCTTTTACTCATAAACACTTCTTGTAATTCATTAGCATTGCTGTCATCATTTGATAAATTAACATTCCAATCTACTTCTTCCTTTATTTCCGTTTTTAGTAGATGTCTTCTGTTTCTTCTAATAACATTTCTGTTTAAGGCTTTTACATTAAAACTTCGTAATTGTTTACAACTTATCCTGGTTGCCAATAATTTCCATCATGGATACAAACATTGTTTCCCGTCCCTAAGTTTTTTAATGATTTGGCGTTTTTATCGTAATACTTTTTTTGTAAAATTTAAATTATTTTACACAATTGTTTTTAGTTTTACTTTCGTTGATTAGAATTACTAAAAGTAGAGACGTTAAGAGTGATGATCTCAATCTTCTTCCATTGATGAATTGAGCAGATGATGAAAAACCGTCAACCGTCAATCCTGATTATTCCATTAAAAAAAAATTATTTCAAAATGGATTAAATGGATTTTTTGATTTTTTTTCACTTGATATCATTAATTCCTTTGTTTGTTATTTTAAGTAATCTTCTTTTAACTTTTCCTTGTTTTCCTTCAATCCGTTTTACTTTGTTTAGAGTAGATATTTCTTTTTACTGTCGGCACTTAAATTTGCTTGTGTCTACAGTTTTTACTTTATTTAGAAGTTTGACAGCTTGCAAGTCTTAAGAAGTTTGTAAGCTAAGAACGAGTTTGTTGTTTGCACTATATAAAATTTAACCAACTTTTTTATAACTTTTGTTGTAGCACATCGTCTTTGGTATTCCAAGTACTGGAAAATAATTCCATAACCACTTAGTTTAACATCTGTATAAGTGAGATTATCACATGGTTGTTATGGTTGTTGAAATGGTTGTTGAAATGTTGAAAATACTTTTTGGCATAAATAAAAAATTTTGGCATAAATAAAAAAAAAACATAAAAAAAAAAAAAAACAGATCCCATGTCGATTTTTCCAGGTACCAATTTATTTTTAGTTTGAAAGACTATTAAACCTTTTTTTAAAAAAATCATTCCACTAGATGATACAGATTTAACATGTTTGTTCAACAGCACAACCTCGTGTATGTTTTTTGAGATGCAAAAAAGCTACCCAATGATTTTTCTGTTACATTTGTGACATGTTTGACCAAATGCCAGACAGCTTTTTCGTTTATTTGTTCTATTGCATTTCTTGTAAAGCCCTTTGTTGTCGTTTTATATTTAAACAATTATTCATTTGTTTTATTTTTTTTTAATTTTTTAACTTTTTGTTAAAATTTTTCTGTCCACTTCTGATAATATGTTATGCTTCGTATTTATAATTTTTGGAAAGAGAACTTTTATATTTGTTTGACAATTGTGCTTTTTGATTAAGATGTAAATTCAGTATTCATTACCTTTTCAAATAAGTCCGATATTGGGGCAATATTCAAAATGCAACACTATATAAATCGTCTTTCAACATAATATATTTTTTTATAATTTTTTTTTTGTTGATTTTTTAATCAATTTATTTAACCATAAAATTGAATTACATATTATTTATAAATTTACAAAACTAGGTTTGATGACACTCGTATAATTAAAAATAGTTAATAACTAGTCGTTAGAGTGACACCTTAAATAAAAACAAACAAACAACAATATAGATAGTGACCACAAAATGATTATAATATTAAGAAAAAACAGTAACTATTAAAAAAGCCAGACTTATAACAAAAAAAGAAAAAGTAAATGAACTGACATGAGAGATAATAAACAAATGAGAAAACACAACGTTTAACGATCAGATTCTGATCGCTAAACGTTACGTCATTCATTCATTGTAAGAAGAGTTATAGAAAATAAAAAGAAAACCAATAGAAGTATTTATAAATTATGATGAGACAAAAAAATACGAAATCATATAAATTAAACCTACAAATGTAAAACGCAACAATGATAAAAATATTTAGCAACAACACTACAAAACAAAAAAAAAAAACAAAAAAAAAATGCGCGACAATATAAACAATACACTTATAAACGCGTTAATATAAACGATGCACAAAATTACACGACAGTATAAACAAAAATAGAAATACTCTCGAGTTCCTAATACACGGGGGGAGGGGAAATGTTTATTAATTGTTGGAAAATTTTCCTTCCCACACTAAGTTAATTTAGGTCCCCGCTTCCATATTTGTTAATTTTTTACTTCCTATCTAAAAAAAAAAAAAAGGTGAAAACTGGCCTTAAAAGTTAGAAAAAATGCCCCCGAGAAAAAATCACCCAGGAAAAAATCCCCCTAAAAGATAAAATCATCGTAAAAATATACTTTTCATATAAGAAAAAAACCTTAACATTTATAAAATTTTTTATCAAGAATCAAAATTAAAAAAAAAAATAAAACCAGATTTTTTTTATTAAAATGACTGCCTAACCTAGAAGAACCCTAGGTGGATGTAGCGGCACGTCCTTGTAGCAGCAGGCTATAAGATAGTTGATGTAGCAGCACATCCTTGTAACAACAGGCTGTAAAACTCTATTCTGAGTGGAAATTGAATTTTTTTTTTGAGGCATCAGCAAATTGAGTGTTTTGCCAAAACATTACTTTAAGGGATATTTTTCAGTTTGTTTATGGTGAGTGGCTTCTAATTTTTTCTTGAAGCTTTTTCTTACGTATCGTGAAATATTTTCCAAAAATTTTTTTCCATTTATCTACTGTCCAGTTAGCAAATTTTCTCGTCCAAATATATCTCTTCTTTATTATATTTTCATTAATAACTAATTCTTCGGTGGTTTACTTGTTACCGTTTTCCTACTGTAGAGTTGTGAATTTTCACTTCGTTGACCTCTAAATCTTATTGCACATCAAAAACTGTCATTCTTGGATTTATTTTAGACATTCCGAGAAGTTATTATTTCTTTTCAATATTTCTCTTTTTCTGACACATTTTCTCATTCTTTGTATTGCAACAGATCAAATTTAGTGTTTCTTACTAATGAATTTACAACCCCATACTAACTCCACACTCTTCAGCGATCTTCCTTTGAGTCAAGAAAGTTCACTTAAGAGACAATCTTATCTTTCCAGATAGCCCCGATTTATGGTAAATCACGGATGTTTTGCCGAAATTTAAATAGAGATATCAGGTCATGTCGCTGATTTATGCCCGGAATTTCAAACCTAACGGTTAGTGTTCGGTTAGGATAATTCAAAGGAGAATGTAATCTGGATAAAACACAGACCCAATAAAACAATGTTAAAATTATAATAAAAATGTTAACTTTCTCAGTCAGCGTTTTATTAAAAAATGAAAATCTGAATAAAATAGGTGTGTGTGTTTATTTTGGGTGTGTGTTTGATTTAAAATACTATTATAATTTGAAATAGAGTATTTTGGACAGCGTTAAAAATTCTTCTTTTGCATTTGTTATTAAAGGGAGGTTAAATTAAACAAGTATCCTTGTCTTTTAATATTAAAAGGTAATGAACTTTAGATATTTGTAAGTTTTTTATTTGTTTAATATATATTTTGTGTACGAAATATTATTTTATTGTTATTATAAAAGTTAATAATAATATCAACTAAAGTTATTTTTATTCTTTATAAATTTATAAACTTTAAATAATATATATGTATATATATATATATATATATATATATATATATATATATATATATATATATATATATACATATATATATATATATATATATATATATATATATATATATATATATATATATATATATATATATATATATATATATATATATATATATACATATATATATATATATATATATATATATATATATATATACATATATATATATATATACATATATATATATATATGTATATATATATATATATATAGATAGATAGATTATTTGGATACATATAAAGTTATTATTTTTTTAATAAGTGCAGAAAACCCGATAAGATATATATATATATATATATATATATATATATATATATATATATATATATATATATGTATATATATATATATATATATATATATATATATATATATATATATATATATATATATATATATAATAAATCAGATATTCTGATCTTATCCGGTTTTCTGCACTTATTAAAAAAATAATAACTTTATATGTATCCAAATAATAACTTTATATGTATCCAAGATTCCTATAAATATCGTATATCAACGCCTAATGACTCACAATCTGTATTAATTTGTACACATAGATTATTAATCTGTACATATAGATTGTTAAGTATAATAAAATAAAAAGAGTTATGAATGTAAGTGATCATACCGCCACCTATGCAAGTATTGTGCATTTGATGGACTGATACATATTTTGTTTTGTTATAAATACTACATAATACTTAATGAAATTGCTTAAAGAAAAATACAAACAAAACAGTACAAAAAAAGCATTAAAAGCTTCCATTGCAGGTGAAAATTCTTCTCGTAAAATAAAAAATTCCTCTACATGGTAACATCAATTTAAAAAAACAGATGATCCACATTTGGCTATGCGTGTTTATTGTCATAGATTGATAGGTTGTAGTCCTAATAACGGGCCCACATGTTTAGCATCCAGATCATCGCATGCACATCATACTAAAAGGTGCAAATTGTTACCTGCTAGTTTAGATGAAAAGCAAAAAATTTTGACTTCCAAATCCCAAAACATAAGCAAAAAAGCACCAAAAGCTTCCAAAGCAGGTGAAAGTTCAAAGACCAATCTACTGAGACTCTTAATAACTTGAAACAGTGGCAATTCAATCAAGAGGCTTCTAAATATGCACTTGTGAAGTTGCTAATTATGGATGAACTACCTTTTATGATTGTGGAGAGAGACGGTTTTTGTTTATTATGTAAGTCCATGGATCCAGATTTTTTATTTCCTTTACGTTTCACTGCTGCAAGAGATTATTACACTATTTTTATAGAGGAAAAGAAGAAGTTAATGAATTGTTTTAAGAATTTCTAGAAGACAAATATATATATATATATATATATATATATATATATATATATATATATATATATATATATATATATATAGTATATATATATATATATATATATATATATATATATATATATATATATATATATATATATATATATATATATATATATATATATATATATTTGTCTACTAGAATCTGATTAACAACCGATACTTCAACTTTTGGTCAAAACCTGAGTTATATTTGCCTCACTGCTCATTTTATAGATTATAGTTGGAATTTGCATAAAAGAGTGATTGCTGGTCATTCTGGAAAATTTATTGGTAGAGCAGTTGAAAAGTGTTTAAATGAATAAGAAATTTAAAATATTTTGACTGTGGCAATAGATAATGCAACAACCGAGGAGTAAAAAAAAAAACATCTGCAAACAAACCTACAACATCTTATTGCTATATTGATACTATATTTAGTGTTGGTTATGTGCTCTTCCAACATGGTTTTTCTCCCAATTGGTTATGTGCTCTCCCAACATCTTCACCATGAAGATGAAAATGTTAGATAAATGGCAGCACAAATGAAGTTCAAATATGATAAATATTAGGGTAACATTGATGAACTTAATTTATGTTTATTTATGTCATCCTTGATCCAAGAAAAAAAAAAGATTTTCTTTGATTGGATGGTAAAGGAATGATTTGGATTAAAAGAGCTAGGTGTTTGTTTTTGAATATAACATCCACATTTTCTTCATTATTTGGTTTTTATGCTTCTTCAATGCATAAACCAGAGAATATAGCCACATTAGGTGGTTCAAGTTTAACCTCTACTACCGGATTTTATAATGAGGACATTGAAAATGAAAAAATGTTTGATATAAAAAATGATAGATATAAAGTAGAAGCATTAATTGATAGTGGAAGTACAAACAAAAGTTTTATAAGCAACAAACTAGTGACTCTACTCTATTTAAATATTATTTATGAACAGAGTGTAATTGGAATGGCATCAGCTGCCTTATCTGCAAAATCAGATGGATATTGTTATGTCTTAATAACTCTTCAAAACAAAATCTTTAACAAAGTCAAGTTGCATGTGCTGGATAACTTATGTGTAGATGTTATTCTTGGCACAGATTTTCAAGAGTTGCATGAAAGTATTACCATCAAGTATAGTGGGAAAAGACCACCCATAACATTTGCTGCTTTAATAACAATGAAAACTGAACCTCCTGAATTATTTGCTAATCTCACGCAAGATTGTCGACCGATTTTTTTATTATTTTTATTTTACTTGACGAACAAGGCCGCTGCGGGGAGAAACGAGTTGAGCGCGGTACTACCAGGGACGTGGTGGGGATCGAACTCCGAACCGCTCGTTTATCAATCTCTACCTCTACACCACTACTGCATAAATTGGTTTATGCGGTAGTGGTGTAGTGGTAGATTGATCAAGAAACCTCCCTTATTCAGTAGAAGATGTAAAACAAATATGTAGGGATTGTAGAATATGTAGAGAAATAAAACCCAAGTACTACCGCCCAAATGATGTGCACCTGATTAAGGCCATTCGAAGGTATATCTATTGACTTCAAAGGCCCATTACCTTCTTCAACCCCTGAACAGTATATGCTAACAATTGTAGACGAATACTCACGTTTTCCATTTGCTTATCCTGTAAAAGATATGACAACTCAGACAATAATAAACTGTTTAGCTGATCTTTTTTCAATGTTTGGTATGCCTAGCTATGTTCATTCGGATCGTGGATCCTCATTAATGTCTTCTGAATTAAAGCACTGGTTCTTATCAAAAGGGATCACAACTAGTAGAACAACCCCTTACAATCCGACTGGAAATGGGCAAGTTGAAAGATACAATGGAATTATTTGGAAGGCGATATTACTTACTCTTAAATCTCGAAATCTGCCTATATCATCATGGAAAAGAGTTTTGCCTGATGCACTTCATGCTACAAGATCTCTATTATGTACTTCTACTAATTGTAGTCCACATGAACGTTTTTTTAATTTTCAAAGAAGATCATTATCTGGGTCTTCAATTCCTTCATGGCTTGTTAACCCTGGACCTGTACTTATAAAAAGAAATGCAATGCAAAGTAAATATGAAGTTTCAGTAAATGAGGCTCAGCTCATTGAAGCAAATCCTCATTATGCCATTATGAGATTTCCTAATGGTCATGAGAATACAGTGTCAACAAAACAACTGGCTCCTATCGGAACAACTCCTATAGTACAAACATCAAATGACAATTTAGAAATAACAGCTATTGATAACTACCCCTTAACCCCTAATGGTAGCAATGAAACTCCGTTAGTCTCCGAAGAGGAACTAGAAAGCAGAGGGAAACCTATAGAGCAAAGTACTCTGCCTCCTTGTAGATCTTCACGAATTTCTAAAGCACCAGAAAAACTCAACTTATAAATACACCTGAACACTTTTAAGAGGAGGGTGAATGTTATGATAATATGAAATATGGAGAATATATATAAATATATATGTTTTGTATGATATTCTATATACTTTATGTATTGTGTTATTTTGTTATAGACTAGTATAATTATAGCTCTTTTGAGCCAACATAATTAATATGGTTATTCTTTACAAAAGGGAAACAATTTCAGAAATACACCAAATGCCGTAAATACATTTATTAAAGAAACTATTTTATTATTTTATTTAACTTATTCCATCATTAACAAAATTTATTAATCAAATAATTTTTTTTACAAATAAATAACAATTTATTTTCTTATTTTTCTATTAAATAAGTATTGAGAAAAAATGTCAAATATAGCAAAAATGTTTTTGACATTTTTGCTATATTTAAAAACAAAATATTATTTGTATGATTCGTCAAAACAAAATATTATTTGTATGACATGCAAATAATATTTTGTTTTGACGATTTAAGCACAGTTTTTTAGAAATGTGCTAAAAAAATTGGTTTTAATTCAAGTTTGAAATTAATAAATTATACACTTTTATCTTTACTTACATTTTTACTTTTATCTTTACTTACATTAGCAAAATGCTTTTAAATAAAGTAACTACAGGCTTTCCCAGGAAAGGCGTGCGATCGCACGCCTTGTTTGTCCACGCATAGAATAAATTTTTCTGACTAACTGACCACGTTTTACTATTATGCGTTTCAAAAATTTGTGCCATAACAAAGCTAAACGAAAATACCGCAAAAATGCAAGCAATCTTAAAGTAAATAACTGAAATCTGTTTGTGCTTTAAAATTAAAAAATAAATGTATATTATTAAAAAAAAAATTTACCTTTATTTTATTTATTTATTTTTTTAGGTTGGTAGTTATATTAGCTTTGAAAAATCAAATCAAAAAGAAAAATCAAATCAAAAAGAAAAAGATTAATGTTTAAAGAAAATAAAAGGACCTTTTAATGTAAAATTTGTTTATGAGTTTTATCATTTAGTAATACTTTAAAATTCACGATAGAACTATAAACAATTTTTAAATGTTTCGTAAATACATTTAAATGTTTAAATGTATTGATTTAAATGTTTGAATGTATTGATGCGCAAGAAAACATGAAAAGGATTGCTATTTATTAGTAAAATATGTTTTTTTTTTTTTAAATAAAAGAAAATTTTATTGTCAAACTATTGAGTTGCTTATTTTGCAATCATTAAATGACATTGTGTTAATATATAATAATGTGACAAGTGTTAATATATAATAATGTCCCGAAGGAACTGTTTTCGTAACAATGACAACAGAAGCAATGCAATTATTTTTTTAACTTCTTTCGTAATTACAAAATTATGCAATTGAATAATTTCAATGTAATAAAAGGCGAGCATTGACTCAGTATAATCATTATAGAATAAGTTGAGAGAGAACTTTTTTCACATTAAAATTTTGTTATGTTTAATCTGTAAAAATCTGAAATAATATATTTAATAATTAAAACAGCAATTTATTTTCTTGTCAAAGTATTGGGGAATAAAGTCAACGCCTTTGCATAAACCTTTGTAAAAACTAAATTAAATGAAAAAGTTTAACCAAATTTGTCTAGCGTAAATAATGAATCAGTTTTTTAATACATTGTCTGATAAAGTTCGTGAATAAATAACGTATCAAGTCTTTTTATTTTTGTGAAAACTTAATGACTTATCGTCGTCTTTTCCTTGACTTGTATTAAATTTTGTAGCTGAAAATAGCAACCCTTAAAAAAGCAAACAAAAACAGTATAAAAATTTTGAAAAAAATGTTCAAGACTTTTTTTTTTTTTTGTTACAAGAATTTTTTTTTTTTAAATTTTTTTTTTTATTATCAAAATATTTTTCTTACATTTATTTCAATTTTATACTTTGTTTAGACTTCGTTTTCTTTTTTTAATATTATTTTTTATTCTCTGTGGATAATTTCCGCTTTCGCACGAAATATTGCCGCGGTCACGTTTTCTGAAAAATTTATTCTATGCATGGACAAACTTTCCTGGGAAAGCCTGTAACTATTGATTTTAATTAAAGTATCATTAAAAGTTGTATAATTTTATATTTATATTATTTAATTATATAAGATTTTTTTATAAGTAAATTTAAAAAAGTAAAATCATTAAAAAAAATTAAATTTTATAAGCAGCAACTTTAAACAGCGGTCTCTTATAAAAACTTTATTTAAGAATAATTAAAGTTAACTAACTCCAAAAGTAAAAAATTTTACTGAGAAGAAAAAGACAAACTTTTTAAAAGCTGTTTGAATTAAATAACTTTGATTTTTCCATAAGTTTTTATATTATTGCAACGCATTAAGATTATAATTAATAATAAAATATTAATGAGTAATAATGTTTTTTTATATTTATATAAGTTTTGTTATGTCTTTAAAAAAAAAAAAGTATATATATATATATATATATATATATATATATATATATATATATATATATATATATATATATATATATATATATATATATATATATATATATATATATATATATATATATATACTCTTGCATGGTAGTCAGAAAGAGTTTCCCATAAACTGTAGTTTTAAAGAGCGCGTTAATAAACCAGACCAGAAAAAGTTTAAAAACTTAATTTTTTTTTTAAATGATAGACTGCCTGCCCAAACCAAACCCCCAGTCGATGTAGCAGCACTCCCTTGTGAATCAGGCTATTTGTCAGTCGATGTAGCAGCAGTCCGTTGCGAGTCAGGCTATAAGATAGTCGATATAGAAACACTCCTTTGTAGCAGCAGGCTTCAAGATAGTCGATGTAGCAACATTTACGCATGTTTTAAAAATGTTTTTTAATAAAACAAAAACAAAAACACCACTAATTAAAAAAAGTTTTCTAGTCGTTATTATTGTGGTTTTTTAAATTTTTTTAAAAAACAATAAAATTTATTGTACTTCCGCATTAATTTAATTGCTTTGACATTTTGACGACAATCAAATACAGCTTAAGAGACGAGGAAATGGGCATTTCCAAAAAATCACCACTTGTATATGTTTTTACTTTTATTTTCATAAAAATAAAACTAGCATTTACTACTCTCATTTAATTCTAATCAATATAAATATTTTGTAAACAAAAAATAGTAAGAATTAATAATGTTAACAAAGAATAAATAAAGTTTGAAATGGAATCACACATGGAACAGAAAAACTTCTATTTTAGTTACTAGATAAATAAACTTTAATTCCTCGGACAATATAAGTTTTACAGGTATACTTTTTTTTTTAAATAATATTTTAAACATTAGTAAAGATTTCCAGAAAGTTACAGGATTGTACTATGAATCATAGAGTCAGAGCAATCGTTTAAATGCAGTTTATGAATGATCATACACGGAAGTCACGCACGGATATTGCAAGTTTGTCAATTTCATGTAGTTATTTTTATGAAAATAAATTGCAAGTGAGTATTTCAAGTAAAATATTATACATCTGCGACTCATATTTAATATATTTTCGATGAGAAACGGCAGTCATCGATTATTAATAGCTAGAGTATGGCGTTTTGAAAATTATTGTATAATTTTCAAAATGTAACGATATTATTACTCAAAAAATAAAATTGTAAAAATGTGTATATTTAATTTATTCAGATAGCCTAAAATATGATAAAAATACTTTTTTTATAATTGTTCTTTAAGAAAATCAAAATAGTATGCATATTGCATAAAGTCTCAGCTTTTAATTGCTAAAACAAAGAAAAATAAAAAATCACGCACAGAAATCGAAATGCCCATATATATATATATATATATATATATATATATATATATATATATATATATATATATATATATATATATATATATATATATATATATATATATATATATATATGTATATTTGTATATATATATATATATATATTTATATATTTATATATATATATATATATGTATATATGTATATATGTATATATGTATATATATATATATATATGTATATATATATATATATATATATATATATATATATATATATATATATATATATATATATATATATATATATATATATATATATATACTGTTATTAATAGTATTATTATATAATTATGAAATGTGAAAACGTATAAAATATTGGGTAAATTTTTAGATTAGTATTTTGAAAAAATGGATAATAAGAAACATAAAGATATTTTGCTGAAGATTGCTGATAATCTGTTGGATGAAGATGTTGAAACAATTAAGTTTTATTATTCACAACAAATTGGCTATCGTCATCTAGAAAGAATTAAAACTCCTATCAATTTAATTCAAACTTTAGAACATCGAATGCTTCTAGGGATAAATAACTATGATGATTTTGTTGAGATACTTAATAAAATCGGAAGGAATCACTTGGCAAATTATTTTTCTAGTGAGTATTATATTTTTTATATCTGGTTTTAACAGGAGGCGCATGCAGTTGCACGCCTTGCCTGTCACCTTATATAATGTTTTGTTTTGATAAATTGGCCAAACATGCTCTTTGCATGTTTTGGTATTTTTAAATTTGAAACTTTGATAATGTGTAATATAAGATAAAGTAGTAAATTAAGTTAAAGATATACAGGTTTTTTTAAAAAAAAGCTATTTATCTTCATTTTCCAAGTTTATTTTGTACTTATTTTTTTATTCTTTTAGATTTATTTTCTTTAATAAAAAACTTTTCAACTTTTTTTGAAATTTATCATTATAACATTTTAAAATAAAAGTGTTGGGATTCAAACCACGGATATTCTGTGTATGAAGTTGACGTTTTGTCCAAATAAGCAAAGCTTGGGTATTCTTTTGAACAAATAAAATAATGTTATACATAAAAAGTATACTCATGCATTTTATAGAAATATTCATAATATATAAACAATATATAATTGTTATTTTTTGTTATATTTAAGTTAAAATTGCTAACTGTATATATTTGTAAAATATATTTTACAAATACAAATTTATAGCAATTTATATTTTCATTTTTCTCCTTTAAAAAAAACCAAATAAAATATAGAAAAATCATTCTATCTAATGTCGACTACTTTTTTTTTTTGCTTTGCCTTATATAATTTTGTGCTGAAATTAACAACCACTCTAAAGAAAAAAACAACAAAACACATATTATGTAAATTATAAATTTTTTTTTATATTTAAATTTATTTTAATTTCCGGGAAGGCTTGATTATTTGCCCACTAACAGAAATGTTTAATAAGTTAGACTTTATACAATATTAAGTCTGAAATCATTATTTTGAGTTTATGAATTTTTAATTTAATTTGGGATTTGCATCTAAAGTATCATTTGCAATTTATTTGTAATTTCTATAAATAGTTTACTAAAGTTAGGAAAGCAATGCACACGTTTTGAAATCTAAGTTTTAAAATTTTATCTGCAAAGCATAGTTTTGTTTAGGAGTTTTTGTCATAGACATTTTACTGACAAAAATTTTATTGACTCAATAGTAATATTGAGTCCATAAAACTCCTCTGGGCATTCCCTATAAGTAAGACATGTTTTAAATTTTAGTTTTTAAAATAATGTAATTCTGGAAAACTCTTCCATTCATTCAAGACAACTCAAAGCAACTGTCATCATAGGAGGAAGATAAAAACTATTTAAAGATGAAATTCTTCATTAAACAGTCAAGGTTATAAACCAAATCTACTAGTACGATATGCTAAAGTCAGCAACGATACTTAAAGATAAAATGATGAAATGTTTAGCATAAAACAAGTTAATCAATGAAAATCAACATAGTTTAATTACTAATAAAAGTTGTGTACTAAAATAAAAAGATTTTCTACTGTATGCTTCATTTTGCTTATTATGAACAAGCTGTTACTACAATTAAAGGTTTAAATACAACAACTATAAGTTTAGAAAAAATTAAACATTACTTGTAGCACCTTATCGCACTAATGTATCATGTGTCTCTATTTTACAGCCACAAATCTTGACTTATTTCTTGGAATAGTTACTGACAACTGCTCTGCAATAATTTTTTCCCAATATTTATTTGTAAAAAAATCTCTATTTAGAGATGTTAAGTTTAACAAAATATATAAAATCTGTTTATTAAATATAAAATTAATGAGTTTTTTGAATGTTGCTGAGTGAGGAATCAAGTTGTGTTTGGATTATTTTCATATACTTGGTAAAACAATGGTATATTATAAACATATTTAAAATTTTATTTAATGTTATACTGATAATTCCATGTATGTTCAACAAAACCAAAATTGTTTTGTTCTTAGGTTTTGATGATATTTGCTATAAAGGCTTGATGATATTTGCTATACAAGCTCAAATTAAAAAATTTCAATCCAACTTTTAAGGTTTTAAGCAACTACTATCAAGAGAAAACAAAGAGTTTAAAGAGCATGTAAACAGTTACTTGAAGTCTTAAAATGTTGCATGTTGTATGAATTCAGAAAATATAAAGATTAGTAAAAGTTTCGAAGTTTTGTTGATCTGCAAGGAGAAAAATTAGATAAATAAATATTTTTACAACATGTAGGCACAGATACAGTAAAAAGATGCGACTTTGCTGAATGACAAGCCAAGTGAGAATGAATTTTGGTTGATTAAACTGAAGATGATATACTATTTTGCAATGATAAAAGAGTGGCTCAAGGTCCGTAGATAAAGCAGGTCCAACAACATAAAAAAAAAAGTACTTTTAGACCTTAGAACTCACACCCCAACTTTATCTATTAGACTGGTGTAGATAGAAAAAATAAGACAGATAGAAAAAATAAGACAAAACTAAATGATTTTGCAACATCTCTATATATTTACTTAATTGTAGCTCTATATAATATGTAGTCTTTTCAAATGACAATTGTGAATTTTTAATATTTTTTTTTTTAGACATCACAAAGTAATTGGTCATGAGTTTTTTTTTACATACTAAAAAAATTTAATTTTCTATTTTTTTTGACATAAAATAAAAACTTTTTAAAATGTAGTTTTTGTCAATAAATCTTAGAAAATAGAAAAATACCAAATACGATACAAATTGGGAAATACCAAATTTAATGTGTTTTTTAATGCGCTTTATGACATTTTGACAATTTAAATTACCATCTATCTTAAATTATTGCCATTAATTAATGTGTTAATTATTGCGTTATTTAATAAAAGTTTGTCCGTATTTTTGTTAAATATTAGTTGTATAAAACAGGCGAAAATATACGAATTTCATGTTTTTTATTTGATGGTTATAAAATATTGAACAGAAAGCTTATAATCACAATTTATAATGCCGACTTAAGTTGCTATTAATTGTACTTTTAATGCAAAACCAGGGTCTCACATATCCTTTTACGATTTTTTATATCTGATACCACTGTCAACTGTATTGTTTAGTGTATTCTTGTACTTTTTTTTCATTAAAAAAAAAAAAGAATAAACTGTTGCTGACATTTTAAAAATTTCAATATCAAAAATTAAATGTAAAATAAAATGATATTTCCTTTTTATCCGTATTCAATTCAGCAAATTTTACAAAAAATTATTTTGCAATGTTTGGAAATATAATACAAATAAATTTGTTTTGCTGTATGTTAAAAAAATACTACATCGTATTTTTTTTAATTAAGAATTAGAAAAACGCAGCTTTGTTTAATTACACTTTTGATTTGTTAAAAGTCTACCGTGACGTCAAATACTAAAACTTTTATGAATTAAACGCGCTTCAAAGGAATTGCTAAAGTCTATAGATTGCGACATATAATTTGAAGACTCCGAGTTATTGAAAAAAAGGAGAAGGCGAGCTTCGGCTAAAACAACAACATTAGTTTTTCTCTTTATGCATTCATTATTTATTTTTAGTCAAAAAAATTTGGTTCAAATCTTTTTTTTCATTATCTTTAATATGAACACAACATGTGTTGGGAATTTGGGATACCTTTAAAGATATGCAGAAAACAGTGATTATTGTAGACACAATGTGTCACCAAATTGTTCATGAATGATTGACACAATTTATCCGTTTACTCATTTCATCTTTTTCATGGCATAAATGTTTGCCTGTTGTTAAAATTATTTTTCTACTAAATGAAAATTTTCATTAATGAGTAGTGTAGTGGCTCCATAAAAACCATGTGGGTTTTTTCTAAAATGCTGGCCTTGTTTTTAAGACATAAACTGGCGCACTATTTACATATGCCCTAAGCCATTTTACATAAGCAGTAAGCCATTTTAACTGAGCCACTTTTATCATTTATAATATTTAAAGAAGTGGTAAGGTAAAAGAAGTAATTAACATTATAAAAACCACTAATGAAGTTTGAATGACAGTTACGTAAAAAAGTTTGAATGACAATTACATTTGATATTTGTGTTATTTACAAATATGATTACTTAAGAAAAGAAAAAAAAAGACTATTTTTATTAATCTAACTTTTCCATCTAAAATATTAACAAAAAAGATGTTATAGATGCATAAAAAAAGAAATCATAAAATAAACTTAATAAGAACTTTTATATTTATTATCTTTGCAAAAGCAAGAATATTTATTCAGGCAATTCCTCATAACAAACGATAACAAAAATAATTACTCAATTTTAAAACAAATTAAAAAAATATATATTGGATAAAAAGTAGTACACGTTAAATTTAATTTTATATTAAAACCACTTTTGATATTTTAAATTATATAAATAACAGATAGTGCAATATTGAAAAAGTAAAAACAAAAGTTTCTTTATAATTAAGAAATGATAAAATAGTTATTTAAAAAAAAAAATTGAATTTTTTTTCTTTCTATTTTTCTTTTTTTTCTTTCTATTTTTTACAAAAAATTAAATTCCTTGTAACCATGTTATAACTTATAACACTGCATCAAAAATGTTTATAAAGAATAGGTTTTAAATTTTTTTCTTAAGGTAAGTGAAACCGCAACAGTATATATTTTTTAATAAATGATACTTAAAAGTTAAATTTTTATTTTTCACAAAAAAAAAAGTTCTGGTACAGTAATTTACTTTTTTTATTTGCAACAAGCATTGTTATTTTTTGATAAAATTAATTGTTGCAAAAAAAGAAAATACCTTTTTATCAAAATTTTCGATAAAAATGTAAAAAGTCATTTATTTGTGAAGCCGCAATTTTAAATTATAATGAAAATGAAATAAAAAAATATATATATATATTTTAATTCATTTATAAAAATGTTGAGAAAAGAAATAAATATATTTATATTAAATTAAAATAAAAAAGTGTATATTTAATTATTAAAAATTAAAAAAAATTATATATTGAAATAAAATAGACATTTCGCAACATATACACTTACAAAATTTGTTTTTCTTAATTAATAAAATAAACTTGTTTTGTGGTAATTTGTTTTACTGCAGTATTTTTAAAAATGCATATATGCAGC